GACCGCAGTTGTGACACATCCGCTGGAGCTGGCGTTTGTTGGATGGCTCTGACATCCTCAGGATCAGGATGACGATTGTTGGCATCGAAAACGAAACCAAGGTATTTGATCGACGGAAGGAAAAATTGGCATTTCTCGGCTCTCATGTGGAAACCGTACTCCTGTAACCGTTGAAGAACGGCAACCAGGCGCTCTCGAAGCCGTTATGGGGTGCGACCAACAATGAAAAGATCGTCCAGGTACGCGGCCATACCCGGAACGCCAGAGATCATAGCGTCCATCCTCCGTTGGTAAATGGCTGAAGCGGTTTTGACACCAAACGGTTGCCTGGTGTACTGGAGAATACCACGCTGCGTATTGATCGTCAGCAGGGCTTGCAACTCAGGGGCGACCTCGATCTGCAAGTAGGCGTCTGTCAAGTCGACTTTATCGAAACACGTGTTACCGCTGAGCTTCGGGAAGAGGTCGGCTGGGATCGGTAGCGGGTAGCAATTCGGTTCCAGCGTTGCGTTGAGACCGATGGAGAAATCGGCACAGATGCGGAGCTATCCATTCGGCTTCTTGACCAGGACGATTAGCGCTGTCCAGGCGGAATAAGACACAGGCACCACGACGTCCATATCTTCCAAACGTTGGAATTCGGCATCGACCAAGGGTAAGGCTACGTATGGGACAGGTCTTTTGGGACGGAATAACGGTTGAGCACCAGGTACGAGCTGTAACTCGGCGCGGGTGCGTGTACAGCGGCCAAGAACATCCTGGAATACCGGGGCGAAATGTCTGCTGATGTAGTTGGTTCGGTCATTTCATACTGCCGGAAAATGTACCGCAGTGCAGATCAGCCAAGCCAAGGATTTCGAGCCAGTCGTGGTGTAGCTCTCGTGATGTAGCAGATCTCGTTGAATGTGGCGCTCCGCAAGGAGACGGAGCAATGCAGCTGTCCAGTTAGCTGCACGCGGCCACCACGGGAGCTAATGGCAGATTGGGGGGCGGTTCGAACGGTGGCTTGCCAAAGGATCACCAGATATCGTCGGAGATGTGCGTGATGTCCGACGCAGTGGCCACCTGCAATCGGACTGACTGACCGTTGAGCAAGACGTCGACGAATTTTCTCCGATCTGCAGCTTTGATTTGGAAGGTGGCCAGCAGGCTCGGGGAGCTGCCAACCGGACCAGGTTTGGGAGTGCATCTGGGTCGGGACCTCTTCTTCGGATCAAGAGTGGGAGCCAGCCCAGTTTTGGCACCCTTCGGAGATGTGGGATGGCAGTAAGCATCCCGGTGCACCACCCTGCCACAACGTTGACAACGATGCTGGCGGAACTTGCAGTCCGGGTAGAAATGCCAGGCACCACAAAATCGGCACGCGTAGTGTGGCTACTTCGCTCCTTCGGTTTGAGTGAGGCGCGCGGACGATTGCGCCTTCCGTGCTGTGACTGCCTGGACCATACTAGGTGCGGCGTTCTGGATCACGACAGGTTGCGCAGTGGTTGAAACTCCTTGGCCAGGTTCTGGAGTGTGAGTGATCTATCCTATTGAAGTTTGGACAAAATGCGCGTCCGGATATCGGTATCACGTGAAGACTGGAGGTCAGAGAGAAAAATCAGGCATTTGAATTGGTCCTCGGTGTGTGAGCCAAGTTGAAAACGTCGGCATTCACGGTTGACCACGCCCACGTACGTGATGAAGTCGATGGCATCACGCTTGGCCAGCTGCGGGCATTGATAACAAACATTGAACAGCGAGGACTGCTGCCAAATATCTGGGACATGGTTCGAACCATCTTGTCAAAGGTAACATTGCGTTGGTTTCAAGGCAAAATGAAATTAGTGTAGCGTTGGTATTCGAGCGTACCAAGATTGCGCAAAAGCAGCCGGACCTACCACGCCTCGTCCTGAAAAGCAAGTCAACGGTGTACTGGTTCTCGTACCGATTCTACCAAGATTCAAACGATAATCCGGCGTTTGCGTCGTACAGAAATTCGCTGAGGCCGTTAACCACATGGTCCACGTAATGAGAATTCACACTTGGACTTACATGATTGGCCAAACTGGAGAGTTTGTCGGTTAGTCGGACAAAAATTTAAGCTGGCGCTGAAGTGTAAGTTTTAAATTAGTGTACTCGTCGGTCATGGTTCGTAAACTCTGTCGCCACTGTTAAAAATTTGAGCCGGATACGATTGTCACTGGCATGGTTTGAGCACACCTACGATAACGGCTTGGAACGCTGCCCGATCGAACAGATTTGCGCTGACTTGATGGCATTAGCTTAGCCTTGGGTACACGCTGGTGAGACAGAGAATCGCGCTAGCGTGAGAACGTTCGTAGCAACACGTATTCGGGTAGACGCTGAGCCCTCGTAACGGACGAGGCTATGCACACGAGAGGGGTGGCGTTGGACGCGCGCCAGTGGCTTAGACGCGAACGCATCCCGGCTAACGAGGTACACAAAAATCACGTGACCGAACCGACTCCCAACTAACAGTGAAGAGGAAGCAAGACAGGTGGTCCTCTGAAGGCTCTTTTACGACCAACAGAGGGCGAGTCACAGTCAATACTATGAGTCATTAAGTTAGTGAAAATAGCTACCGCGACGGGGTGGTAGTTTGTAAAAGAACATTGTCAAACTGTACTCAGTTGTGCCGCGTCTCGGAGTGGCTGAAATCTGCTACGTTGAAGGGAGGAATTGAACTCTGCTTTCCACATTCATTACGCCGGAGTTTGTGGCGCGTTTTTGCGAGGATAGTTGGCAGGCTCGCATCCCACTTACTCATGCTTTTGTTGAAGTAAGTTTTGTCTTTTTTCAGTTTATATCATCGCAGCGATTTGTATTCTAGTACATAGTTCTACAGTCAGCAAGAGTTCTATGCTTCCATAGTGTATGTTGGGATTATAAGCATAATTTACAAAACTTACAAGATGGATACTTATAGAAAAGTAAGATCAAATATTTTCTTATGTTGTACGTGAAGTATCAGTGGTAAAGCCATTGCATTTTAGCAAACTGTTGTGTAGCGTTTATCACTAAGATGAATGTCTAGGTGTCTTTGAATATCGTCATATCTTGTGCGTTCACTAAATATCTTGGTAATGCATTCAAGTGATAATAGATTCGGAGTCAAGATACTTTCCGCAATTCAAACGGGTGTGCTGCATCATTGGTTTAAGTGACTGCCTCGGCTTTATTTTATGACGCTATGGTCAACAGTGAGGTATATGGATGCTCGCTCTCAATTAGTATCCGGTATGTGAGAATGAGATCTCCGCGAGGCCTTCCGTATTCTGAGTAGAACCCACCGTGAACACACAAGGTTTGACTTGACTCTAGAATGATCTGAAATGCCATGTGATGCCACGTGATGCCCGATTACAGTTTCTTGCCTCGAATCTTATGAGACATATTGTATTCTGTAACCCGCGAGTTGTAGGGAAACTGGTGTCAAATTTGTTGAAATTACCACCAAATATGGAAAGGGACTGGTCAATTTTCCCAATATCGGTATCCGTAAACTTCTGTTGTAATTTGTCTGCTTCTGCGTTTGAGAGACTGCGTGATTTATAGATACTGACCAGTAAAAGAGAATGGTAATTGTTAAGATAGTTAGGCATCCAAGTTAGGACCAAGCATTTGATACGTTGTGAAGAGTATAGGTAGAAGCTTTCCCTGAAAGGCGCGAAGGTGCCTTAATATATCTTATGAGGTCGCCGTCATGATTCCTGTAGGTGCATGGGCGACCAGCACGAATACAAATAAAACGGTCAACCGCAACGACATCGTCTTCAACACGTTCATGAAGCTGTGTCCCTTTCGCCATAATGATTCCTAGTTGTGGATTTTGACGAAACTTAATGATGCTTTTAAGGTGCTCCATTTTTACCAAGAGCGAACGGATACTGTCGATCAGAAGAGTGTAGTGACCTGGAGATTCCCCTGTTTGGCTGCCGCATGCTGCGTAAAATATTACAAAATCACAAAATTATATTTTCTTGATATACATAGCAAATTAGCCGCTCGCCTGTTTGAACGTGGCTTGCGTTTGTTTGAGTCAACATAGCATCCGCCTTCGAACGGCGCGACGCTCAGCGGCTCCGCGGCCATCTTTGCTCTCCGCGCACGCGACCACACCTTTCCCCTAGCTAGCTATCTTCCGGTGCTTTATTTTTAGCACTAGATAGCGTTTCGCCCCACTTAATAAATTTTTCCTAGCGTTACTTTTGGTGTTCTCCACTCATCGGAGGTTGGCCTTATATTCGCGTATTGGTTCTAAAGCGTACCGATCCTGCTTCCCGCTTTAAGAATCGGTATACTCATGCTTGTCAAGTTTTTCTTCCTAATGACAACTTTCCACCCCGCACGATGCGTTTTCATAGATTCTTCTTAATTTATTCCGGATAGACCGATTATTGCTACTGTACGGAAATGCATAACAACTTTAGTACATCGCGTGTACAGGTTGTCATGATACTCATAGCAAAAAATAACAGCAGGTGATTTAAACAACCGATTTTTAGGAAGTGTCTTCGGTAGTTCCTTGAAAGAGGAAAGTATAAAACGCGGCCAAATTTATAGGTTTCGCGAACGGTGGATTAGCGTTTTATCATTTTATTCTCTGGTGGCAGGTTGGTTCAAAATCGCAATCTTTACAGTATGTTTGAAAGTAGCTCACGAAACTGATTACCGCTGCAAAACAATAGGGTGAGGCCACCAAATTTAGTCAAATATCGGCGGAATGCCTGACCGTTACTCCCTAGTTACTTATTGCGAATACAGCAGGTATCAAGGATGAGGACAACAAGGTGGAGGCAATCGTCATCGCGTGAATTCACTCGATGTTGCGAACTACCAGACGATCACCAGGGATATATAGTTTTGAAAAATACAGCGAGGAACAGAATCTGAAAGTACTTGTTTAAGTGGTTTTCTAATTTCATAACCACTGAAAACGTTTAGATTAAAAGTTTAATTGCTTACTTCTCACTTCTTCTGTGACTGTTTCCTTGCAGTTACTGTGCAGTGTACGAAATAACTCATGCAAACAAAGCGTGTCTGCCTGAAAATCTTCTGTGGCAGCTTATGGCTGAGCAAAGTCTAAACGGATTCAACTATCGCCGAAGCGCCTCGTCAAATCCGATGCACAGTGGTGGTCTGTACCCCTTTGACCTACATGCGTATCGCCCTCGTATCTCACGAAGAGAAAGACGCTGGGATGCATTCCCCACACCGATACGGAATACAGTCATTCTGGGACCTGAAATGGATTCCCAGAATCCATGGAAATACACCTGGATTAACCACGGTGCGCTGATTGCAAAGGGGAGGCAAATATGCGTCACATGCTATCCCGGCTACATGAGGGAAGATTTGGGTTTCCGTTGTTCTGGCTCCGGCTTACTGAACGTGGAAACACGCTGGCGAGCGGTGCAAACTGCTGACTGTCATGGCCGCTTTCGCATGCTCACAATGCCCCAACGGGCCTGTACCTGCGATGCGGAAGCCACCTCGTTTATCTTTATTTGAGCAGCTGTGCCCCTTTGTCAAGTCGAATAATGTATACCACAACAGACGATTTGAGAAAAATCTGAACTTTGACTTTCGCACCCACTCTTCTCTGATCATGCCAGTGAACCTGAATCGAACTCACACGAGCAAATGCTATTTTTTCATCCATCTTCAACCATACATGTCCGCGTATTTGCTAAAACCTGGATGATTCGGTCACCAATTTTACTCTGCCTTCTAGTTCTTGATAAGAAAACTTTACAACAAATGGAGACCATCTGCCGTTTCTGTTCGATTTATAGTATGAAGGAATAATCCAATTTTATTCTATGTATGCAACACACTGTCACCGTCCACAAATTCGTTTCGCTTCAGTTTGCTTTGAATGAATAGTTTTGGGCCTCCAATCAGAATACGTGTCACACGAATGTGAAATATTTTGCCTTATTTATTGTCTCGATACACTTCATTCATTAGACACCATTTTTAATAGGTTGTTTTTTATGGCCAACACATGTGCCTAGTTTCCCGTAAATGCTGGTCACAAAATTGATTTCAAGGAATTTCTGTAAGTAACGCACAAATCGCCCATCTCTCCACACACTTGCTGTTCATACTGTCAATTCATATGTTATAAATGATGTTTTCAATAACTACTTGCGGTGCCAGAAGGATAGGGTTTATGGGAATGCAGGTGACACCACGTTACAACTCGACACTGTGTAGCGGTTGTGTGTGTCTCTCATTAACGAGACCACTTCAATAGCTTTCTCGGCTAGTGCGGAAACAATCCGAGGTAACTTGAAATAAAAACATAATCATATATTTGTTAGTTGCTAACTCTGCAGATTGCAGCCTTTGCGCAATTGGCAAATTACAGAAGCGGGGTAATTCACAATTATACAGTGAACGGGGGCGGTGGATGCTTGTTTTACGCACAACTTTAAGGTCGAGGACCACGGGTCTTCTCCCGTTATGGAAGGATCATATACGGCTCAAAGTCCACCGCTCACAGTTCCATTAGCACTTGTGCTCTTCAAGGAACTGGCCGCGTTGTTTCGGGAGTATGTGGTCTCGTTGTCACGTTTATCTCGCAGCAGGCGCAAAAAGCGTCAGTTTGTTGACATCTGAACCTCATTGTTATTACCAGAAAAAGTAGTTGTTATCTGCATCACAATGTGTTGTTTACGTTTGGTGATCACTTGCGCGGCGTGAGACTTGTTAGAGCCATTCTTTCAACCAAGTAACTTCTGTTGCGGGTAAACTAACTATAAGTGCTACAGGTGGTCATTGAACCGATTTCATGCTGGAAACAATGAATTTAACATCACTATATGAGCGGCACAACGCTTCACTGTCGGACTGTGTTCCCAGTCATCGGGAACAAATAACATGGGATTTTGGGTCGCTGGTCTGATAGGCAGTCAAACCAAACATATAACACTAAGGTATGGTACTTACATCAACTAATACATAATTAGCTATACCTGTTGGCATTGTCCGTTCGCAATCACGAAGCAATATGTATGTCACATCAGTTACAGACTGGTACTCATGCATCAGTGACACTATCAAAAACGTCTTGAAAAACTACAATAACTTACCTCATCGAATGGCCTGTTGTCCGGCACGCAATGGTTGCGCGACAATTCTTCACACAAGATCAGCAATCTGGCGAGTTGGACGATGCAAACAAATTAGGAATAAGGTAGCATTTACGAATTACAAAGCGCAGCACTGATGAAGAAAACATTTCGTCCAGTTTTGGTGTAGTAGATTAATGGACTGAATATACGGGTAGAGAATACTTTGTAAATCCCACCCAGCAAAACAATTTGCCAGAAGTCCCCTTAATGGGCTCGCATAAGTTAACGACACCTAACGAGTAAGCTGGTTTTGCTACGTCATTGAAACAGGTGCCTCAAACAGGTCATGGAAGGTGGAGAACACTAAAGTTCTCTGAGATCGGTGAAGTTGCATGTAGCAAAAAACTGAGTGAGAAGACGCGGTGTCAACAGAAGACGCACCAGCGGAACACTCTCAGAACGAAGGAGAGTAGCATACTTGCGCAACCCCACAACGGGCAAATATCAAGCCCGCCTAGGTATAAGTGTGCATCTTATAAGGTTGACCGTAATTTTAAGCCAACACGAGCGGTTCACCTTCTAATTCAAAAAGTTGGAACTAGCACGTCAGATAGCTCCAATTCGAACGGTACCGTACCATGTGGCGGGTACTCAGTACCACCGAATCGAAGGTATTTCGATCTTCGTTTTAGGAAAGAAAACAGTCCCACAGACCCAAAGTGAAGCCACGAAGAATTGAGGGCTCTTTAACTCACCTTGGAAGTCACCTCCCTCTCTGATGGACAAAGAACTCGTAACTTCGTTCGACAACTCCGGATAAAGTGACTTAGTGGTATTTCGAAGAGCTGACAAGGCTGTACCGCATAACTACCCTTTTGGACGAGGACAGAATAAGAAAATGGCAGGCAATTCTGATCTGACAAATTTGATATGATACTACACTACTGAGGATGGAAATATAGCGAACTTACAGGAGCTACAATTATTTTGGCCGGTGAACTTCGCTGTCTAACAATCTACTTGGATACCTTGTCTGAAGAAGGTAAGAGAAAAGAAGGCCATGAGAAAGTAATTTTGAATCAAACACAAACGTTAATAGAAATTACCGTTGTTAAAGATCTCCTGGTCTTCAGATCCAAATCTTGATGGCCGAAACGGTCCCCAGTGGGTAGAATCTGGTTGATATCGGGTAGACGGTGAAACGAGTGTAGAGTACTGCCAAATTGGGCAGTCCTAGCTTGTGCGCTGCCAAACTTGATCACCTTAGCTCAAATTCGACTACTGTCGAAATGAGCACCCCAAAAATTGAGCACTGTAACGTTTACCGGTCGAAAGGTAAATTACGCGTAGCCAATGATCCCAAACACAGAACAAAGTTGGATCGCAAGAGTAACCGCACTAGTGAAGTACGTACGGTTAACTAAAGCAACTTTGCCTCAATTGTTCACGATCACGATGTATCAATCTCAGCAAGAAAATCCAAATACACAACTTAATGAAATCGCTGTTCAAGCAGACAGCCAGAGGAAAAGTGAGCACACCAGAGTCGTGCGAAGTATTGGCACGGACACTGGCCAAACATCGAGGGGTCAATCACGAAGTGAGGAGTTTACCGAGCGCAAACATACAGCCTGTCAAAAAGCTCTGGTCCATCTACTCTGTTAATGCGGGACAAAGGTCCCTCCTTCGGAAGTGAGGTAGAGCGCCCCAAATTGCCAACTGTCCAATAGTAGGTGTTGGTCTATCACAAAATCTCACCCGGTCAAATGAGTGTAGAACGACCGTATGCATGCATGTGGGTACATGTGTACTTTTCCGTGTCGTCCATTGTGAAAACGCTGGATCATGCGCGGATGGTTGAGTAGGAGTCCCGACACGCAACAAGGCAAGTGCACTCACCGAAACATGCGGTGTGTAGGGCTGATCTGAACGGAGACAGATGTGCAAAACCGAACGGCAGTACCCCATTACTGGGCTACTGCGGTAGAATTGTGGTGGCGCTTCGACAGGCTAACTGGCCCTAGCAAGGGGTTTGCAATAGGTGCTTAGTGTTATTCCAGCTAATGAGAAAAGGGTTATTATCAACCCTCTTGTAAACTGAAAGTTGCCTTTGAGCAACCTACCTTAGCAAAATAGGCATGCCTTACAAGTAGGCCTTGTAAATATGAAATGTGACGTTTTGAGGAGTTTTAAAAAGCCATGCCGCCTAAGGACTACTCGCTGCCGCATAGTCTATTCTCCCATCGTAGTATGGATCGCCGTTGCAGGGAACAAGTGTGGTTACGCTGCCTAATTTTTTTCAGGCGGGACCATGCGCGTTCAATGCAACATATTCACTGATGAGGCAATATTCCATTAGCACGGAACTGAGAAGCTGCATTTCTAGGCAATATCTAATCCTCGCGGATACTGAGACTCACGTATTGCACAATGCTTATTGGCTCGAAGAAATGAATAAAAAATCTTGGGACCGCAGCACACGCATTTGGGTTTTCACGTATACTGTGCACCACAAGCCCGTTATCCCTGTGATAACTTTTCTGACACAGTAAATTGCAAACATCTAATATCAAGCTGAAAATGATTGATAAGCCACGCTTTCTCGATCTGAATTTTTCTTGAAATCTTGTTGGACCATCTTTCTTTCCCCTATATGTGACCGATTAGTTACTGTTTGAAAGCACTCATCCCACTCCAGAGTCTGCACACCGATGAACAGTATACAAATACGAAACCGCGTAGCCTATGCTCTCCTCACCACCTTCTTCACATCCTCCCCTAATTCCTTAAGCATAATCATGAAAAACAAGTGTTGCCATCGTGAATGAAGTTGCGTGTTGCATCGTGAAAACGCTGGATGGACAGATAGCACCACCACCGGCGTGGTCAGTGAAGAAATCATTCTCTGCACTGACTAGTCGTGGTACAAGCAATCGATATGACGAAGGTTAATGAAGCTACGCACAACCCTGGCGGTTATTTCGCTGCGTTAGCAATGCAGAACGGCACTCTGTTCAACCGCAGTCTCGTAACGTGCCCGTAGATCAGCGCGTGATCCTTATGCGACTGTTTGGTGAGTGTCAGTCGGAAGCTGTGAAAACGGCTCTCCACTACAACACTGTTAACTGTACAATGAGGTCGCTTAACGCGCGGTACGTGCGTCGACTAGTTGAGAAATTTAACCAGACTGGGAGCTTGTGCGACGCAAAACGAACCCGCAGGCCTCGTACCGCCACGGATGGCGTGTCTGCTTGCGCTGTTATTGAAGAGGTAGTCCAAAATTTTGGTGTAATCATTAGGAGAATTGCGCCGCATTGTGCCACCACATGCTCTTCTGTGCATTGTACATCGAAGGAACGGAAGTGCCAAAGGTATCGTGTATCACAAGTTGAAGTACTGAATCCATACGGTTGTGAGAATCGCATGGAATTTTCCTGATGGTACCTGGATGTCATGGATGGGCACTCAATCATGTTTACTGTGTACATGGCGCCGATAAGCGGCATGTTTGAACTACCAATTACCCACGACAATATATCGCTTCACGTGTGCAACATGGTGCCTAGCTATAAATGGGAATATGGAACGTTTTTTACAGGGTACAGTGTAAAAATTGTGATAAGAACTATGTGGGCCAAACGGGAAGGAAATTGTCTACAGAGCTACAAGAACACAAACGAGCCTGTTCAAACCATTACCCATCATTCTTGGTCTCGACCCACGTTGATGAAGAAGGGCCCATATTTGACTGGGAGAAAACGGAGATACTAGCGCAAGGAGAGACGAAAAAAGGAGAGAATTCCTTGAAGTCTGGTTTTCTACAGACAGTTCAATAAACCAACGCATCGACTTAGATCCGATATACGGGCGGCTGCGAAAAAAGAATTTACGTGGATCATTTGGCACATGAGTCGAAAAGAGGCGGCGCTCGAACTCCGAACTAGCAATGGTCACGGGACCTGAAACGAAGTGAGCAAGTTCAAATGTCGCTCGTCGGTAAGAGTCGACAAAACAACTCAGTTTGCTTATTACCCACTGAAGAAGTCATCGCGATTGGTGACGAA